ACGAAAATCTTTTTATAATTCATAAATAATCGGTATTTTAAAAAGAAGAAAAAACTTACTAAGAGTAGTTGTGTTTGTTTAAAAAGTTATTCAGTAACTCGCCAGCAAGTCTCCAGTAACTTAATTTCTGCGAATTCGCACTCAAAGAAAAAGTATCCAAAAAAGTACGTGAACGCAAATCCAGTAATAATTATCAAGTTTCATGAACAGCTGATTAATTGGTTCTTTATTCGCAGCAAATTCCTAATAAAACAATATATTTTATATTTAAATTGGTTTATTTGGTTAATTTCAATAATAAAAACCCAAAAATAGTTTCCATATTACTAGTTACAAGTAAAAATTAATCCATTAAAAATTCAGTAAAAACTTTGAACTTCAGCTGTTTCGCTCTCTCAATAAGTTTTTGCGTACGAAAACGCCAATACATGAAAATTCGTACCAATTTTTCTGGATATTACTAGAAATGGGTAAACGTAACACAACTATTGTTTATTATCTTTAACGTTGTTTTGGTAAAATAATTCTTTAATACATACTTTTTAAAAATAGTATTCAAAAGGGCATTAAAATGGTCCTAAAATGTTCCCCTTTTTTTACTACATTTATATGCATTGCCGAAATGGGGCTACCAAAAAAGTGAGGTTATGTAACTGACATCACCTTGTTTATTCCACCATGGTTACTACCAGACAACAGCATGAGTTTACTCACTTCCATCTAAACAGTATGAACTCATTTCTGTGAACTCTATAAGGTTAGTGAGAAACACCGTACAAACAGTGAGATTTATAGTTAGTTTTGAAATCAATGTTTAGCTGCAGTGTACTCATTTGATTTCAAATATGGCATTGATATACTCTTTCCAAATCAAGTCAAGCGAGTGAAAAATGCTGTTATGAAAAGCAAGTCGAGCAATCGAATGACACCCATTGGCTTCAAACAATTAGTAGAGAATACGACAATTTTGAAAAAAATGGATATTGATGAAGTATTTTTTTAAATATATTAGTTTTACTAAATTATTTACTTATGCACCTGACGTACATTTATAAAATTAGTCTACAAAAGAAGTGCAATGTTACCTCAGAAGACATCGGCTTTATAAGGGACTTGAAAAATAAATTGCTTTATTATTTTAAAACAGTTGCTGTTGAAAACTAACAGATTTGTACAAAATTTTGTTTTTTTTATACCCGCCAGCAAAAGAGCTCAAGAACTTTACCGAATCTGAGCAAAGGTACACAAAAGAGAAATGTTTACAAATGATGAGAACGTTAATTGAGAATTCTGACAGTGCAATGGAACCACAAATTACGGATACACCTTTGCTACCTTCAGACAACTCTGAGCTGTTTTCAGGTCTTCTTAAACAACCTACATTTGTGAGCAGAACTGATAAAGCTACTGCAGAGCTGCGGCGATATGAAAATATTGAGGTATATTTTCATACGGACTTCGATATAATTAATTGGTGGGAGGTACACAAATGCGAAATACCGCTGCTGTATAAACTCAGTCGTAGAGTAATAGCCACTCCTTCAACTAGCGCATCGTCAGAAAGGGTTTTTTCTTCTGCTGGAAATGTTATTTCTGACAAAATATGCCACCTTTTGTCAAATGATGATGCCCTTAATCAGTTGATATTTTTGCATTATAATATGCAGTTAGGAAACCAATAAAATTAACAAAAATTGTCTTTACAAATGTTTTTTCTTTGATACTTTCATTACAGCAGTTATGCCATGCACTTGTTTTTCAAATCAAGCACTTGTTATTTGAATCGAGCACTTGGATAGTGTGAATTACTCACTCAACCGACAATGTTTTTTCAATGCTATCGCACGTTATGTTTGGAAATAAATGAGTGCGAGTGTGTGCAGATGGGAAAAGAAAGCGAGTGACTAAAAATGTAATTTGAGTGTATCCATGCAGCTCTCTGGTTACTACCTTAGGGATTTTTCTATAATTTCATAAGTAGAGTGTGTTTATACTACGCAGCCCTATTTCATTTCATTTATTTTATTATAAGTGCCTACTTTAGAGATTTTGAAACGTTTTATCGTGTGCCGCCCGTGACAATCACTTATAAATTTTTTCTAATGGTGCCTCACAATAAAAAAACAAGGTTAACGTTTTAAACCTATGCTTAATGCCACAAAACTTTGAAGTTCAGGTTGACTAAACATCATAATACTGTTAATGATCTAAGCGGTGTAGTAAAAAATTTCGCCTGGTCAGCTCGAAAGGTCAAGGTAAACATTACTAGCATAGAGACGCCAGAGAATTCTATGAACAGGGTTGCTTAACAACAATCCAAAAGTCAATACTAACAATTACCTCAAAAGTTACAACCAAGAAAATTTAGACGTTCGCCTAACTTATAAATTCAATCCAATAAATAGCCTTTAAGTGACAAAGATATATGTATCTGCGTACAAGTATTCCAATGCAGATAACTTTTCGGATTAGACATCGATACACAAGATCTTTTCTAACGTTCTATGGTTCCACTAAAGAATAGCTAAATTTGAGCCTGATTTGTCCATGAAATCAGTTTTCCAATAATAACTCAACTCCAGCCACTCTTAGGGCCGGTTACTCAATGTCTGGTTAACACTAACAGCAGGTTAGACATCGCTATCGACGTGATAACAGGAGTCGATATCCATGTTTAACCTGTAGTTAGTGTTAGCCAGACATACATAGCTAGTCTAACCAAACTTGAAAATCATTAAGGCACATTCGAAATTGCATTTTTGATCAAATGCACCGTGCAGAAGTGCAAATAATTCATTCTTCCACGCATTTTAATACATCAATCTGGCGACTTTTAGCTTTCTATTGCCCCCTAAAATAGATCCTGAAGGCAGCAATATATCGTGCGTCTTACAATAACTCTACTGTGATAAAAGTCGGTCAATTGATCTTGTATTTGGCCTCTAACATTTATCATACTTAAGCCCTTTGATATGGATCTCACTAGAAGCTCCATTTGATGAAGAAAATCGTACGTGTTCCACCCGTGACAAAAGTTGTCCCACCCGTGACAGGAGAGTTTTGAACTTTTTAATAATAAACAACTAATTCTTGTTATGGTTTGCGCTTTGCTTGGACTGTTTGTTCTTTTCTGTATAGTAAAACATCTAATTCAGATAGAAATGTTAAGTAACTTCACAGACTTTCCGTAAAATATATGTTCTCCAAAAAGCAGTGTCTTTTCTTTGTCCTACCCGTGACAAAAGAAATAGCTGAGAATTTTTCCATATAAATCAAGTTGGAATATTTTTCGTATTTGGTAATAACTAGTATATCAGTGAACTAGGTGTAGCTTTATCGAAATGTAATATTGCTAAGTACTTTATACTTAAATTTAAAAAAGAAAAACTATTTTTTCTGTACAAGTGTCCCACCCGTGACTATGGAATACCCCTACTGCAATGTTTTCGGACGGTCTTACTCTTACTGCCAATATAGGCACCCCACGCTTTTCATTTTCAATCTGATAAATTGTTTATAATGACTTTTGCTAAAATTTCAAAACCAAAAGTTACTTTTTAGTCCATTTATAAAACCACGCATAGTAAAAAGTTTTTAATTTTTTTTTTTTTCTTGTCTGTATAAAATTTTGCAATGGATATTAAAATAATTCAACGATATTAATGGATTGGTGCACACACTTGCATATGCATATGGATGCACACAAATGTCCCACCCGTGACGATGGAATACCCCTTTTAGCAAATACGTACATTTCAATACACGAATGTATATATGTTGAAAAATTCAGTCTTAAAATACTATATCACATAATTTAACTCAATCTTTAGTTAGCTACTCATTAGCGTCCACAATGAAATATTTTATCATATTCTCGAAAAGAAAATTTTCCTGGTTCGGTCGTAAAAAGCTCTTATACATAGAAAACGAACGTTCTACATCCACAGAAGTAATTGGAGCATGCTTAAAAGCGACCAGTTCGCTTGGAGTATATTCATTTTGTAAAACACTTTTTTTTTACTCAAATCAAAAAAGGTCGCAATTTCCTTTATTTTTTTAAATCCTTGATTTTTCTTGAAGGCGAAATATCGACATCAATAAATGTAATAAATAAAAGTACTAAAATCAATGTTTTATTTAATAACCGGCCTGGAGCTCAAAATTAACGAATTAATTATAATAAAACGGCCAAAATCAAAAAACTAATCCTTCATATTGTTACTAAAATTGCCTTGTAATGGTTTACAGAGTGGTCCGGAAACATGAAAAACCAACACTTATGTTTGCCAATAGATTTCGCACTACATCGAAAATAAATGATAGCCGTGTTCACAGTAACCTCCGTACTTCGTCATAAAGAGTTTTACGTGTATTTTGTTTGTGTAAAACTGCCACCTAACAAATTTACGAAATTAAAAGTACCAACTAGAGAAATATGTACAGATTTGCAGATTTGTAAAGTTTTCCGTCAAGAGCCAATATAATGCAAAATATGTACTAAAAAAATGCATTTTTCAAGAACTAAAACTAATTAAACATTAAATTGTGTGCAGGGATTCAATTAAGGATATCTGCCTTATTTGAGCTAAACTCGAAAAAAACATTATCGTCGTATTATTGACATCTTAACCTATCACTTGCATTTGGTTTTACTCAATACCGAGCCAACAAGTTTGATTTTGTCGTATTCGTATAGTGTTTTTGAAGATATGGTCCAGAGGACTGTTGTTTCGGCGATCTAATCCTCTTTAGAACTACATACTGCCTTCACGGCAACCCATAATTTGCGCCGACGGTGCCCGAAAACACCCAAGTAGTCTCCACGGAGCTCACTTGAGTAACATAAATATGAATCCAACATCCCTATACCCCAAGCAAAATCGAGGAGATAAATGCTTTATGAACCGGTACAGAATATTTATAGCTGCGATCTAAGAGACGGAAGTTGCATATCTACTCAACCTTATTGTGGATTAGCATTCATCACTCATCACCAGGGAACGGATTTTATGGAAATAACCTTTTTTTCTGCTAGAGAGATAGAGTATATTCGATTAAGAATATCCACGATTTAACTTTCCCTGATTCCACATATACAGGTTTGATGTTGCCTTTTTTGCCTTTTTTAAGATATTTGCCTTTTCTACCTTTAAAAAAGTGATTATAGCATTTAAATTTTTTTTTGAAGATTAAAAAATATACACATGCCCATATTCGAAAATAGCGCTACGAAAAATTAGTATGTTTAGAAAAACGCAGGGTTGTTACGAGTCCGTTAGAAAGCCCCATCTTTGTGCCCATCGATGAAACTACAGATAAGGCAGGCCGCAGTGTAACCAACTTTATTGTTGGACCGTTGCGTGAAAGCGGACGCGGCTATCTCTTGACGGTGGATGAGTTCACCTTCTCATCAACAATCGCAACAGTGTTTGACGATTCTATGCACATTTTATGCCCAATAGGACTCCAACGTGAAAACTGTTAATATTTGTGACTGATGCAGCACCTTACATGAAGAAAAGTGCTGCGTCATCATTGAAGCTGTTTTATCCCAATATGATTCATATCACCTGCGTCACATGGCGTACACCGGGTCTGTGAATCTATACGCTCGAATTACTCCGATGTTGATGGCTTAATTTCAGACTTAAAAAAAGTTTTCTTGAAAAGCGCATCCAGGGTGGCAGTTTTCATAGAAATGGAACCCAATCTACCTCTGCCTTCTAAGCCGGTATGTCAAGATAAATTGCTATTGTTGTTAATTTTTATTATAATTGTTTATAAATTTATACAGGTGATAACTCGATGGGGCTCATGGCTAACTGCAGCCGTGTATTAGACCGAAAACTATGATTCCATCAAAAGAATAATTGACCAAATAACGGACGATGCGGCATGTGTCAGTTTCTCGAAGCAATTGCTGAGCAAAAAATCGGTTCAGGGGAATTTGATGTATATAAACGAACGGCGATTGTATTTTTATGAGAAGCTGTTCTTACACTCGGAGGTTTGCCATTGCCTGCCGAGAGGCGACCGCTGTTAAGAAAAGACCTTTTTTCTAATTTTTGAAGAAGTTTTTTTGACACGGGCATGAACCCAGGCGCTGCGGAGTGGAAGCGCGCACTGCTTACCACTACACCACAGCGGCGCCATGTATGCATTTAGCTATCTGAATATTATAACATAAAAGCATGCCTGACATGCGGAGTTTCTAAATATTTAGACTGCTGCGCCTTCTACGTAGTATGAATTTCAACCAGATCGTATAACAAATACGGATTTTCTAAATATCTTGACTCCCGCGCCACCTAGCATATCATGCAGGTAGCATATATTTTGAATTTGAACGAAATCGGTTCATAAATACGACTTTTATAAATAACTCGACTCCTGCGCCGCCTAGCGAGTTTTCTATAATATGACCATATATGGGCTAATCCTAGCGTTGTGGACATTACGTTCGGACGCTTCTTTTGACTTTTTTTCCGAAAAAAAGGTTATTTGGAGCTTTGTTTCAAGGACTAAGAGGGGCAAATCAGATTTCTCAAATAAAAACGCGAGAATTTGAATCGCATGTATTTTTTTCAAATTTCGGTTGACTATTTCTCGGATTCGCCCATATGCAATGTAAGGGTGCGAAAATACGAGTGAAAGCTCTCCATTAGTTTTTGAGTTAAGTCCACACGCTGAGCGGTGCAGAACAAGCTAATTTTCGACTAGCTGGGAAGCAGACGGAAAATGGGGAAAAACCAAAGACTATGATTCCTATGGATTTTTGTACGGGCTATCCAATGGACTGTGCTTTCCAATTTTTCCCAATGGTTAAAATTCGAAACGAAAATTTATTTGTAATTTTTCTCAATGATGGTCAGTTTTGATTTTTTTAGTCATCTCAATCAGGATCAGGTATTTTTTTACATATAAATCATTAGCAGATGTGGCTTTTTTATTTTTCGGGGTTATAAAGCGTTTTAGAACGCGTTAAACCGCTAACCGTACGCGTCACCCTAATATTGTTATAACTTTGGAACTAATAGATGTTTTAATATGAAACTTGCGCAAGCCTTCCTAGATATCCATCTACATTACCATATTAAAACAAAAAAATATATAATTCAAACTTATAACACAGTTTTTGCCTTTGAAAAAAACACTCTCTCAGTTCTCATAAAAAGGTTTGAAAGCCTTTGGTTTTGTTTGTAATAGTATTAAGAAGTGTTGATAACTTAAATTCTTTGGAATAATTTGTAGTTTATTGTGTGAAAATTTCAAATCGATCGATAAGTCTGAGATATAGCGAGTTTAAATGACAATATTGTAAAAATATGTTATCACGGTATCTATTGTGTTTCAATTCATGCAAGCGAACAGAACCGACTTGTCACGACGGAGCACGTGACTGGATTAGCGCGCTGTAAAACACTTTATAATCCGGGAAAACAAAAAAGTTCTTTTTTTTTATTAATCATTTCTATGTTAAAAGACCTGATCTTTCGATTGAGATAACTTAAACAGTATTAACAAGTAAGAAAGTCTAAGTTCGGGCGGAGCCGAACATTAAATACCCGACGCAAGTATTAAATATATGTTTTTTCACCTTTCCGAAACCTACCGCTAGATGGTAAGCCGGGGTGTATCAATTTTGAGTAAATTAGCGTCCTTAAATTTCGAAATATTGCAGTTTCAAGCATTTCTGAAATTTACCGTTATATGAAAAGCGGCCGTAATTTTAGTCCGATTTCAATAATTTTCATCGTTTTGCTTTTATGTGGCAAGCACAATAAAAATACCGAGTTTGGTACAAATTGGTAGAACGGTTACCGATATACATATACAGTGCCGGACAAAAGTATTGGCACAGAGAATTTTTCGCAATATATGCAAAGTTTTTTATTCTAATTTATTTTCAATATTTTTTAATAAAACTATAGTTCGTACTTCACGAAAAAACATAAAAACAAAATCTCTAAACTTTGTGCAAAACTCTGGAAAATTCAATAAATTTGCATACTAATTTGCAACTTCTTATTCAGATTTTCTAGTTTCTAGTATGTAGTTTTATAGCCCAACTAATTTTAATATAACAAAGTGCAAGTTTGAAGTATCTAAAAAATTGCGTTGATTTTTAGAAATTTTTTTAGTAGAAGGTGTTGCTCATTTTCTCCATACAAAAAATAATTGTCGAACATACTTTGTACGGAAGAACCTGACTGAAAAAAAATTGCCAAAAATCAATGCGATTTTTTAGCACCTTCAAGCTTGCACTTTGTTATACTAAAATTAGTTTGTAA